CCTAGTGTCCTTGAATGACCACAATTTACTGCACGACTGACGGCAAACAGCGGCAGTCTGCAGTGTCATGAGAAAAGCAAGAAAACACAAAGGCTGAGTGCAACAAAACAAGAACGGGAGGGAAAACAAAGGAAGGAGGCAGCGCGGGAAAGAGAGCAAACAAGGAGGAAAGAAAGAAAATGAAGATACAGTGGGAAGAAAGGCAAGACTTAGTCGAGAGTCAAGACGTGTGTGGCCCATCAAAAAGGAACTCTACCAGAGGAAAAATATAAATAAAACACAATCATTAACCAGCTCCACCACACTTAACAAGGAGCTCAGAGAGATGAGGGAGGAGGCATAAGAGGAGAGAGCCGCAGGGTTGCCGCAGCAACTGAAATTAGAACCTGGGATAATAAGAGAAATGAAAATGTGTGTGTGGGACGACCCAGGTGAGACAGACAGAGAGAGAAAGGTTCATAGAGAGGATAACACTCATGTTAGCACCACTTATACAACGCTGTGATAAATAAAACGCCTCGATGTGTTTTCTTTCAAAATCTTACAAAGGCATAGCTCATTGAGGAAACTATAAATGTGCTCTCCTGTGATGTGACATCATCTAAATGAGAAAAAAACACACACTTCAATCATACAGTGTTCAAAATTATACAACTTCCAGTTATTAATCAAGTCAATTTTATTTGTATAGCCTCTAATCACAGTGAGTCTCAGAGGGTTTCTGGACACCCACGCAACAAAAATAAATTAAAATGATGCCTTCCAACCTCAGAACCTCTGAAAATCAGCGAAAACTCCCATAAAAACTTCATTACAAAAAAAACAGAAGAAACCTTTGACAGAGCTACTTATCAGTCAACAACAGACATGATATACAGATAATGATTTTTACAACACTATTATAAATTTGAAGGGACCCATTTCACCACAGCTGACAGACACAAATTTAGCTGTGAGCAGTTATCAAGCACCTTTGGTGTCTGCTTGGAGGTTGCCAAGAGACAGATAATGCCAACTGGAGGCTGGCAGTTTATAAGGTCTGAGTGTTAAGACCTAAAATGTCAATATTGGTCCCAAGGGAGGGAATAATTAAGGCATAAAGATCTAAAAGGCTTGTCACATATGGCTGGCCAGCTGTCACATCTGTCTGTTTATATTCATGCCAGTAACAACCAGGCCTATACTAAAGCAGCAGCAGAGTATGTAATGGCTGAGCATTAAATGTCAGCTGACTGAGCTACAACTAAAGGCTCGCACAAGGATGCACACGGAATGAGGAGAAGCTTGGCATTTCAAACAATACACCAGCTCCACTTCTCATTTTAGACGCTCACTCCCGAGTGGGTTGTCTCAAAAAGATCTATTCCCTGTGGTTCTACTTCATATATTCCCGGTGTTCGGTGTTATTGGAGGAAGCACGGCGGAACTAAGAGAAGGGAACAGTATTTAAGTGTAAACTATTTAACTCTGCAGAATTCCTGCAGGATGTCAGACTGCCATGTTACACAATTTATGGCAGCAGGCTCTTGCGGTGCCAATCCCTCACACTGGTGGACCTACAGTATAGGTGTAAACATCTTCTCTGCTTAATGTGTCATTGAGCACGACACTGAGCCACTTGCCATATTTCCAGGGGAACCGTCCTATGAGATTTTCCTCTCCACAAGATGACAGCAGTGATTTGTTCTAATTACTAAAGCTACCTACACAAGTTCACGCTTGTAGCAAACAACCTTTTGCAGTCATGTGAATAATGTCTGACCTCTCTCAGCAGCAAAGCATGTGTGACTTCCACACTGCACCCTGTCTCCTGCTTGCTTGCTTTTGAACATGACCACAGTCTTTTCCTAATCCAGACCTTAACCATAGAGTTTGTAAATCATAAACCCTCATACAACTTCTTTTTGGGACAGTCATACAAGACACTTTGGAAAGCACTGACAAACAACCTATTTTGTCCGTTAGGTAAAAGGACTTGCTGGTCGTGCTTTGGCCAAAGGAAGAGAACATTTCTCTGCAGGAATAACGAAGGTATCACATTTATGGACTTTCAACACCTTACTCAGCTTGTTTTGGTCCAAATCAGGGGACAAGTTGTTTCTTTGTTGCTTTTATGCATTGGTAGCTTTTATGATATAACCATGGACAACTTTCAATTTAGCCATAATTTATCAACAAAAGCCAAGTGGGAGGAAAATTAGACCAAACAAATCCAATTGCAGTCCGTGTCACTTCAGCTGAGCGTTGTGGACTTGCAGTCTTGGTTCTTTGTTTGTGCTGAGCTTTGGAGTTTATAAATGTGCCATGTACTGAAAAGGCATTTCACTGCATCTTGAGTGCAAGTTTGCCCTTGGTTCATTTTGTTATGCTTGGCTTTTCAAGCACGAGTAAGTACCAGCTATCAGATGACAACATCCATCTCCTTTCAGCCATAAAACTATTGCAGGGTCACTTCGTGTAAATGAAGGTCTAACTCCTAGAAAGTGCTTTGCAGTTCACTTGAGGTCAACATTTTCAGGCATATCAGTTATTTGATGCCACCTGAGTATAAAAATTCACTACTCTCACCTGTCTTGATGAAAAAAAAACGCAAAGTTCAAGGGTTTAAATAAACATCTTCATAACTGACTGGAGAAAACGCACCCGGCTTTAGACTACAACTGGAGCGGATCTCGTGATGTGGGCTGGGGTGGGCGAATACTGTGCATTGGGATTCACAGAGTGTGTGCTAACATAAGAGCCCAAAGTAAAAGAAAAACAATAAAATATATCCTTCAGGGGGAAATTATGAGAGCCTGTATGTTTCATGCCTCACCCCAAAAACTTCCCTGTGTTAATGAGACGGCCATTAAGCAAGAACATAAAGCGATCCCTGCTGTGTCCTGGTGCTGGTAAGTGTGAAGACGGTGTGTTGGGATGTGGGAGTGTGTGGCAGGCAGCTGGCAGCGTTGACTGACAGTTCAGGTGAGCGGCGTGGTCTGCTCAGGCGCGCAGATCCCGCTCCTCTGACTGATCTGAAGTGGCTTCAATTAACTGGAGCAGCCAAGTGTGAGGGAGGGGACTGAGGGAGGGGACTGAGGGAGGGGGGGGGGCAGGCCCCAGACAAGCCTCCTGACAGATTTTGGAGGGGGAAAGATGAGTGGGGCCCTCTGACAGGTCCTCTAATGCCCGACCAACCTCAACCTTTCTCCATCTCCTCGTAGCTAATTACTAAGTATCCATACGGAGACACTTGTCACTGTGATCACAGCAAATTGGCTGTAACTGCAGGGTCAAAGAGGACTGTCTTTCACTCACGTATACAGGCATACACACACGATACACACACATCTCGACTTGCACAAAAACAAAACTCACACGAGTTTTCATCATTTTCAATACTGAAACTATTTTGAGTTTCCCAGGAGAACAGAAATTAAGTCGCAACCAGAAAATCCAATATCACACACACTGCCTCACACACATCTGCAAAACCATATTCATGTTGATGCTGCATGATGCTCTGTCTGCATGATAATATAGAATGGGAGGTGATTAAAATATTCCAGCATTTCTCAACAAATCCTACACACAGATTTAATTTTCATGGCTATATACAGCAACACTGACGTTGGAAGACCCTGCCAAAGTGAAATGTTAGTTTCACTTTGAATATATGAAGGTAAATCACAATCCAAACGTGGGAACGCGGAGAATAGATTTGAAACGTGTCCTGAAATTTCTCATTTGCACAAACGGTGTGCTTTAAGTTTAAACCAAACAAACAGCAAACAAAACCCGTACACACCAGCAGGTTATTATGTCACATCAATAATGCATCTATCATGTATTATTTTCTCGTCTCAGCACACACAATAATGCGTGTCTTATGGCCTCTAACTGAATAGAGTGTGCTGTTTTACACTCTATTTGTTCTTGCTTTATGGCCGTCTTGCTGTTTTGCTAGTTTCACATTACCTAATTAACACAGGGAAGTTTTTGAGGTGAGGCATGAAACACACAGGCCCTCATAATTCCCCCTGAAGCATATATTTTATTGTTTTTCTTTTACTTTGGCCTCTCATGTTAGTGCATACTCTGTGCCTCAGTCCTCATTTCCCCATCTAAAAACCTGATCTCCTTCCACTTTTCTCAATTTTTCGTTTTTCATTATAACTATGTGCAATTTCGACCTTTAAATGACGACTGAATACTACCTGGAACTTACTTAGTCAACTGCAATTTATATGATCAAGTGTCTGCTGCATCCTCTCTTCTCTTGCTACTTGGTATTCCTCCACTGGTAGCCTTTAGATCTTCTGTCACCTTAATTCTTTTCAAAGGTTTGTGTTTTCAAACCATCTACCTTATTTCTTAACCGTCCAGTTCCTCTTACCCACTGCTTGGCTCCATGCTAGCCATCTGAGAATATCATAGGTATTGGTTTACTCAAAAAGCAAAACAACATGTAGCTTGAGCTTGAAATAAAATGACTAAAATTATAACTTGCTGACTCATTTTTTTCAGCATCATGTCTTCCAGAGCAAATTCTGTCTAGAAAACTTATCATGGTAGACTATCAAAGACAATGAATTCCATTAAAGTTTCAAAAGAATACAAAATTTCAACAAATTTACTTTAGACCTATAATGGTATTGTCTGTATATGTGGCCTGACAAATCAGTGCAGAGCACATGGCACCAGGAAGACAGCAATATTTATAAGTAGTTAAAAGTTTGTTTAAGACATAGAACACCTACTTTATTCAACAGGTCTTTGTGGCCTTGAGTTGTGATAATATGGTTTCAAACATTTTCAAGAAAACTAAAATTTCATATATTTTAATGTTTGTTGGTAAAATTAAACACACATCATGAGTTGAAACTGCTTCTAACAACCACTGTTTTCACCCCCCCACCCCCCCCCCACTCCTCCACAGTATGCTTGCCATTTCTCAATATTAGTACAGACCAATGCCCCCCTCTCCCTACCCCAAGATCCTCACCCTATTTGGTACTCACCTAGATCAAAGTCCCTCGCACATCTGTTCCGCTTGCTGCTGCCATGACTAGCCAGCTGGACTCTGTCCGTCAGGTCCCTCTGTCTGTAGGTGTGTCAGTGCTGCGTGTCTATCCCGAGCCTGAGCTCCTTGGCAAGCTGCAAACGCAAACAGCGGAAAGAATCAACAAGACTGTAGTTGTGAGAGCGAGCGTGGGTGTGAGCCAGTGCCTTATCATATTCTTGCAAGAGACTCCTTGTCAAGTTGACTGTTTGTGTGCGCATCTGTTAGGTAGGAGACTTGAATGCAGAATATTTTTTTGAGATAGAGTGTGTGTGAGCTTGCGTGTGTGTCTGCGTGACAAGATATTACAAAGACACACGTTTTACAAAGACTGTAGTGAGGTTTACACAGCGAGGCGGAACAAAGTGGGACAGCGGCCCTCCTTACGTAATTACACCCAGCATTAAAACACTAATCCAAATACAAACTGTACAGTTGCAAGAAAAGTATGTGAACCCTGTGGAATTAAATGATTTTTTCCGTTAACTGGTGATAAAATGTGATCTGATCTTTATCTACGTCACAAGTAAAGACTAACACAATAAGCTAATAACACACAATTATAATGTCTTGTGTCTTTATTGAATACAGGCGTTAAACATTCACAGTTCTGGTGGAAAAAGTAAGTGAACCATTGAGTTTGAGGAATTGTAGACCATTCTTCCTACAGAGTTGCTTCAGCTCAGACATATTCTCAGGATGTCTGGTGCGAGCAGCTCTCTTCAGGTCATTCCACAGCATCTCTACTGGATTATGGTCTGGGCTCTGACTGGGCTGCTCCAACAGGTGGATTTTCTATGCTTGAAGTCATTCTGTAGAAGATTTACTTTGATGTTTAGGGTCATTGTCCTGCCTCAGCAGGTGGACAACCACCCTGACATTATCCTGTAAGATACGTTGATAAACTTGGGAATTCATTTTGCCCTCGATGATATTGAGCTGTCCAGGTCCAAAGGCAGCAAAGCTCCAAATCATGATGCTCCTCCACCGTAAATCTCCTTTGGGATGATGTCTTCATGTCGGTATGGAGTGCCCTTTTTACAGCACACATACTGCAGCATGCACAAACAATTCAACCTTAGTTTCATCAGTCCACAAAACATTTTCCCAGTAGTGTTGTGGAGTGTCAAGCTGCTCTTTGGCAAACATCGGGTGCAGTGATGTTTTTATTTGGAGGGCAGCAGCTTCCTCTGTGCTCCTCGCAACCACGCAACCGCGCAACCACGGAACCACGCAACCAAGATTTGTGTACGACAGACAGAGATGTTAAGCAGCTGCAATGATTCCTTTAAGGCTTTAGCTGTTACTCTGAGGTTCATTTTTACCTCACTAAACATCTGTATCGTGCCTTTGCAGTTATCTTAACTGGACGCCCACTTCTGTGGAGAGTAGCCACAGAACTAAATCATTCCATTTATAGTTTGTCTGACTGTGGACTGATGAGTATCTAAACTCTGTGAGTAACTTTGTAATTAACAATTCTTGATCATAAGTGATCTGAGATTTATTGTGAGGCCTGGCTCACATCAGCAGACACTACTTGTGAATAAGAGGAAACTCAAAATGTTTGAGTGTTTTTGATTAAGTCAAAGTATCTCTCACCCACACTCCAATCTGGTTTCATTGGTTGGACTCCAAGTTTTCTATCTCCTGACTCCATTGAGCTTTTGTTGATGTCATTAGCTGAGGGGCTCACTTACTTTTTCAAGCCTACCCTGTGAATGTTTGAATGGTTCATTTAATATGGACAAGAACAATGTTATTAGTTAAAACAGATTTGTCTGTACAGTTTGTTCATAACTGTAACTGATCTGATTATATTTTAAGGCAAATTTATACACACATTCAAGGTTTATTGCTTTCTTAATACTTCTTGAGTATACTCTGACCCATAAATATAGATAAAAATCTTTGTGGATATAATTTTGATGTATGCATTGCATGTTAATGTGATATATAAAGGGCCCACAGAGACCCCAATAACAGTACAACCATCTGACAGAATAGACCCACGGTGGCACTCAACTCCGGCATAGAGGTTTGCTCTGGCTGTCTCATTAAAATCCTCCAACTCTAATTCCCTTTCAAATACCACCTCTATCTAAATAAACATGACCGAATACACTTACTCATACTCCACAGGCTTGCCAACCACAGGCGAGCAGAGAGATTTCACAGAGCCGGCTGGTTGTGTTTGGCCAAGCGTTATTCTAGAAAGGTTTGTGGATGGTAACAAAATGTCTAAAGCTAAACAACCACACTGATGCTCTTTGGGCTCATACCACAGCCAATCCATAAAGATGCCTGACATTTAAGACATTTAAACAAAAAAAAAAGATGATTGATTCCAGTCAATTTTCTTTTATACCCAGTTCATAAAGTACAAAGCTTTATAAGTTTTAAAACAGCCACGAATGACCTGAAACTATGGCGATAGCTACAGAAATGTGAGTCCCAAGTTTCCTCAGAAGTGAAATAAATTTTGACTCTTAACACTAAAGGCTGACTTACATTTGGCCCAGATATACTGTGCAAAGAATAGGCCATGTTTTACACTGAGGATCTTTGTATTCACGACCAGTATGCAAACTGCCTGTGGGCTTTTACCTCAGAGAGAGAAGAGATGATCTACATGAATGAATGAAATATCTTAAGACCCGCATGTTTACACATACATACCAAGGAAATGTCAATCAGATGCAAAATGCAGCAGTTGAGCCCTGAAAGAAATGTCAAAAAGCTAGCCTGACTCTGTGATGTGTGTATGGGCCCAGCACCGTTTGATCAATAGCTCACCTGAAATGAATATGTGATCATGCGCTCTGTCTCAAAGCGGACATGCACTCCAAACCTGACGAGAAAATAGACGCAACCCAGACAGGCCTCATTTCAACAATCTATTAAATACCGACCCAGTTTGACGAGTGTGGCCTGACCATCCCACCTAACAACTCCTCAGTAAGTCAAATTAACATTTTTGTTGCTTTCCGTTTGTGCAATTTAAAAGTCAAAGTTGAGACTAGGTAACTTCAGTGATCCCTGTTTCTCTTGGTCTTCACATCACTTCTAGTTTTCATCATTACAGATTACAGAACGCAGACTGTAGCTCATTACACCATGGTTACAGAGGATATTGGTTTTTTTCAGAAAACTTCACAGCTTTGGCAGAGAAACCTCATCACTGCTCGACATTAATAGCTGTCAAGCAAGCTTCAGTTTATAGCTCCTGAAATAAGAAAAGTCAGTGTCAGTGGTGAAGCTAGTGCTGAAACAACTATAGTATTAATTATTTTTTATTAATCCTCAATTGTTTCAATAATTAATTGCTTCATGTGTTTATGAAGCAGGAGCTCAAACTGGGTCCGACTTCTCAAAAGTGAGTATTTACTGCTTTTCTCTCTTTTATATTATTGTCAACTGATTACCTCTGGTTTTGAAATGAACAAAACAAAAAAGCTTTTTGAAGACGTCACCTTCAAAAAGACTGATTACTTGCAGTAGTAATTTCTCACTTTTATCTTTCTTTTACATTTTATACACTAAATGGTTAATTTACCTATCAAAAAAGTATAATTAATGAAAATAATCATTACCTGCAGCCAAAGTCAGAGATCCACAATTGTGATGAATCAGATCTTTTAGAACAAGTTCTCTCTCAAGTTCATGATCACCACTCTCATAGTGTTGTTTTAGACCAGCTGTTTTCAAAACTACTCTCATTCTAGAAACCCACTGTACGTGACATTTTTAGCACCAAACTGCTAAGCTGCTAACACGTGAACACAGTGGAGCATTTAGCAGCTAAAGAGCCAGATATTTCCTTCAGAGGTTGGTGGGGACCAAACCAGGGCTAAAAGAAAATTGAATATTGGACTTGCAGCCACCAGGAGATATGTAAATAGGCAACTATTGGCTGATAAGTTTGCCATGACAACATAACAGGTGATATTAAGTTGTTCATGCTGTGCTCACCACTTGTTTCCACTGCCTCCATGTGGCCTGTTATTGCAGAATAATCGCTTCTTTCTGCTCTAATGTTATCATGATAGAATGATCAGCACAGCACTACTCTACTAAACATGGTTGTTGTTTTGCAGTCTATACTTTCTGTGTCCAATATTCACGCTGCTCAGAGGTATGGTACTGCGTTTTGACCACAGGAAATGAGGTATGACCTGGAGTTTGTAACAAGCCCATCAACAGTTTGAATAAGCAGGATGGGACCCGACCTTCATGCCCTTCCTGTCATCTCCGTCCCGAGTCATTTTGCCCTCGTGTGACTCCGCCAGTCTCAAGTGGTCAGTTAAGACGGGGACAGATGACAATAGACAATCCAACCAGTGATGCCACCGACGCCTGATGGGTCGACCCCAGCGATGTCTGAGCATCGTGACACCGGGTGGTTTGTTGGTTAAAAAAGCAAAAGAAGGATACTGCTGCCAGACAGGAAGGTGGGAAACTAAAAATACAAGAGCAGGGAAAATAGAATGCAGAAAAATGAAGAGCTGACAAGACACAGAGGGGGGAGAGGCTGGATGAAGGATAGGTCAATGTACAACGGGCTGATGAAATAGAGCGAGAAAGACAGAGGAAGAAAGAAGTGGAACAGCAGCTCAAACAAGAGTCAAGAAACAGAGGAACAAGAAAATGAGACAAATTAAGTAGAGGGCAAGGCAGAGAGGAACACAATGAGATGGGGATAGCCCAAAAATAAAAAAAAACTGTCAGTCCCCATTCTCCCCTTGAAAGAGGAGAGAATTAAGGTGGAAGAAGACAGGCTCGTTCCTCTCTGTCTCGCCACTCCTAAAACCTGCACAGACTTAAAAAGACCAATATGTAGAAAGGAACAAAACGCCAGGGGGTTACATCAAGCGCTTGACTACGTTCAAAAAGAGCCACAGAGGAAGAATAACTGACACAATTAAGAGCATAACTGTCATCACAGCCAATCAACCCAGTGCTGCCCACACACGGGCACAGAGCAATAGCCCAATCATGACGAGGGATGAAGGGCTGCTAATTCCCCCAAGCAATTCAGCACTGACTGCTAACAGTGAATACCAGATACCTTAAAGGCTTAAAGGCTCGTAGGCTC